GCTGCGGATCCGCCGCTGCAAATGGCATTACGGGCCGTGATGAATGAGCGTTAGAGTAAACTCATTTTAAAAGCGGCCTGATTTATTAGCTCTCTGTCCTCCATTTTCATCAGGTCAGTGCTTGGCTGAAAACCCACAATGTCAGCCGCAAGGTCACCCTCTTTTTACGACTCTTCTTAACCCCATCGCTCAGAGGAAAAGGCCCTGGTTTGGCCGTTTGAAGCAGGTGGTGTTGTGTGATGTGTGAAATGCGATGGTGGTCAACCTCCAATTACGAGTCCTGGTAAGACAAGGCCTTTAATGGCTGTTGCTTGCCTTCGGGGAGCTCTATTACATACTGCTGTTTTGCAGGACCAGCATCAAATCTATAAAAGTACCATTAAGAGGAAAAAATCAATCAAAATGCCATTAAAGTGGAATAAGTTGCCAATATTGCTGATGTGGTTGCGGCTTCTTTGATTTTCCCTCAGATTATTAGGCGCAGCGGCGTAGTGACTTTGTTAAGGGAAACCAGTGTTGTTGGGGAGTAATATGTCTCCCGGCTTCATAAAGTTTGCGGCCTCATATTTCCCGCTTTATTGATTATCCATTATCATTTGTCACGAGGTGTCCTAACTCAAGGGGAAATATAGCTCTCTTCATTGCCGAGCGGAGCGCCAGAGCAGCGTATGGATCTGCGTGTGAAGGTAGCAATCTCGGAGAAAAATGAGCAGAAAAACAAGGCGCCGCCGGTGCAGAGGACTGCTGACTTGGCTTTGTTCTTTCTTCCTCACGTCCTCTTTCAGCAGGAGGATGAAAAAGATAACAGCAAGCGTTTGTTCTTCTCCAGCAGGGATTTGATGTTACGACGGCGAGAGAGAGAGTCCAGTGAAGGAGGATTGTGTGTGGCTGGATCCTGATGACGGGTGTGTAACGAGAGCCTAAAGAGCTAAGGGTTGGAGTCTTGATCTTGTGGTCTCAATCTCAAACAAGTACTGTACGTCTGTACTACTACTTAAGAGCCTTCGAGAAACAATCATGCTCTGAGAAAACAGCTACTAGAACACAAAGGTGTCCAGTAAAGGCAACAAAAAAAGACTCGGGATGAAGTGTTTGGCGAACCGGTTTTGTTTGACAACATTGAGTGCTTCTGCCGTTTTGTTCGGTTACGCTAATGGCAAAGAACTTTCACACCTCAGCTTTAAATATGGCTCTAAACACTCAACAATAAAGGTTCTTTATTAGCATTGGTGGTTCCATGAAGAACATTTAACATCCATGGAATCTTTCCATTCCACAGAAGGTTCTCTATAGAGGAAGAAGGTGCTTTAGCCGATTAAAATGTTCTTCACAGAGAAAACAATGGTTCTTTTAAGAACTCTTCACTGAAAGGAATCCATGGTGGTTCTTGAGGGGTTAGGTGTCTGGTTTTGTGTCTGGTTGGAGATGTAGAGGTTAGCCAGTAATAACAGAGTGTGTCATTTACACACAGAAGTCTTAAACCAATGCAAGGCTCAAAGAAAAATGGTATTGTAAATAAAAATGATGGCTGTTTATGGCACTCAAACTTTGACTTGCATTATTGGCATAGTGTAAGTTGACTTCATGAATAAAATGAAATGCTCATTTATTTCTCATCACTGTCTGTTTGAGCCGAACAAGGCCTCATATTTCCCATCATGCACTGGCCACTGGCACAGTGCCTCTGTCGCTCTCATATGGATATATCATTAGAATGATTCAATCCACATTGATTCAATCCATTGAATCTGAATATGTTTGAAAATGATGGATTTTGTGTTGGAGTAATAGGGAATCAATCCAAGGGCTCGTGGGCTGATTTATAATGTTAGTGCTGCATGAATGGAGTGAGACCTGCAGAATATTGCAGCTCATCCACACCCAACCTCTGTATGCTCGTATCATCGCTGAAATACTACAGGTGTGTGTTCATCGAGGCCCGCTGCAGCTGAACTCTGGACTTTGATCTGATGCATGTGTTCCTGCTCACTCTTCTCTCTCCATCAGCAGCTTCCAGACACGTCCTCAACAACATGCTGCGCGAGCCGTATTCAATTCCAGACCTGCTGTTAGCGAAGCACGTTGAGCAGGTACCAACACTGAGCAGACATCATCTCATTCTTCCATTGAATACAATCTAAGATGTTTAGCAGAATGTTCACACTATACGATGTATGCAGACTGATCAGTGGCGGTAAAACTCTATACACTATAATCATAACGCTATCATGCTCTATATTCTGAGTGTTCTGAAGTCATGTGATAGCTCTATTTTTTCTGTTTTCATTTTCATTGTTTGTTGCTCTTCTAGTAGTCTTTATACTAATTGTATCTGCAATCTGCTAAAACTCTTTAGTTGGTGCTCTAGTTTCTGAGATGTTCTCGTGTGAATCCATCACTAGTCTGAATAATCTGCTAATAAGGTGATGTGTGGCGTGCTGCAGTGCATGATGGGTGTTTGTAATGGATGCTGAGGGCCCGTCCCGTCCTAACTGTAATGTTTCTTCGCTCTTTTCAGTGCACAGTAAATTACTGCTGTTATGGACCACTGGTCAACTGCATCAAACAGTATCCTTCCCATAAAACTTTAAGCCTGAAATTGACGAGGAGCTATTCAGAGAGACGAGATGTGCAGAGCTGCACCTGACATAAAAGTTACGCTTGAGGAGGTGTGTGTGTGTGTCTGAGTGTGTGAGTGTGTGTGTCTGAGTGTCTGAGTGTGTGAGTGTGTATGTGTGTGTATATGTGTGTGTGTGTATATATATATATATATGTGTGTGTGTGTGTGTGTGTGTGTGTGTGTGTGTGTGTGAGAGAGAGTGTGTGTGTGTCTGAG